GTAAATATCTGTTGAATGAGTCGTAGACTTACCACTACCTTCTCCTGACCTCCCAGACTAGATGGTGTCCTCATTGATATATTCTTGGTGGCCATACACCTGTTTTGCAACATTTGGCACAACTGCAATTACATAGCTGTATGAGGTGAGCTTTACCTTACATCACTACTGGGTTTCCAGTCCTCTGGTGGACACTAAGTAGGTGTTGTATGAATGAGTGAATTAAAGTAAGTCAGAGTGTTATTGGAGAAACTGATCAATAAGCAGGTGCTCCAGTCTCGGGCTGGTTGTAGGGATGCTGGGGGTTGGCCCTCTCCCTCCTCATTTACTGTGTGGCCTTCAGGTGGTCCCTTCACAGTTTCCCCAGGTGAAAAATAAGTATCAAGATCACCCTATTCAGGATGAGCTTTTAGGCCATAAAAGACTGATTTTGGAAGCCAGTTTGGTTCTGCTGCTGGCCTGGAGCCCTGGATGGGGGAGCAGGGGTGTGCTGGAATCACTGGGCAAAGATTTGGCCTTGGGACCTCTGCTGGCAGGCTGACTCCTGGCGGGGGGCCAGCCCTTTAGTTTCTTGGCTGGGTGAGTAGGTAATGGGAGGGGTTGATTGATCTTCTCCCACTGGGGGGTCCTGGCCATAAATCTCCCTGGCCCAGTGGGGTCGCCTAGGACCCAGGAGCCACAGCCAGTACATTCCTTGGCTTGGCTGGCTCCAGGCTGGTGCTTTCTGCCCACTTCCAGCTCTTACCACTGGGGCTCTCTGTGGGGGTAAATACCCATCCAGTCATCTAGAGGGTAGAGAGAGACAAGGAGACAACTAGAGCTAACATGTCTGATTCATTCAACGACCCGCCTCTGAGTACTGCTGTCTACCAGACCAGAGGGAGGCACTGCATATACTGAGATCTAATTTCACAAAATATTTGTTGAGTGTGTGTGTAGTCACTGTGCTCAGTGCTAGGGGTGAGCTGGGAGTTATTAATAGAGTAAATATATAAGTCAAGAAGGAGTTGCAATTTGTGACTAGGTCTGTGAAGAGATGAGCAGAGGAGACTCAGATGTGGGTGAAGGTAAGACAAAGGAGTCTTCTTGGAAAAGTGACCTTTAAAGCAAGACAAGGAGGATTAGCTTACTGGGTAGACAGGAGGGGAAGAGTGCTCCAGGCAGAGGGCAGAGCAAGTAGGGAGCTGGCCCAGACGCAGGAGGTACTGGGGCCAGATGAGGCTGGAGAGAAGGGGAAGGGCAGATGGTCCCACTCCTCAGGACCAGGTCAAGAAGTCCAGACATTATTGTAAGGGCCACTGGAAGCTGTTAAAGTGTCTAAGCAGAATCTGTTTGAATGAGTACAGGTCCAGGAGCTCGCAGGCTTGCAGCAAAGACAGTAATGAGGTGAGGCATTGTAAGAAGGAGTGAAGGAAGCTTCTATCTGTGCTCTGAACATCCTTCTCGAAAGTAGCACCCTGCTTTTTCTCAGTCTGAGCTCTCTGCCTGGATTGCTTTCCCCACTCTGTCTTTCTGCCTAATCCAACGTCCAGTCAACTTTTCCCTTAGCGTCACCTCTTCCAGGATGCCTTCCTTGACTTTTAGTGGTCATGGGCAGATCTCCACTGCAGCCCTGGCTTGCCATGTGCACTGTCCAGCATCAAAGACTGCATCCACATCCACTTTCTCTTCTTCCAGATCACCCCACGAGAGGGTGAAAGTAGGGGGCAGGAGGGGAAGGAAGTTGGGGACTCCTCAGCTCTGTGCTGGTCCCCCTACCTTCCCAATCAGTCTGGGATTGACGCTGGATACTGCCACCTGCTGGCAACAAAAGGAATTAGTCCCGGTCCATTCAGGCTTTTCTAAAGAGGAATCACATAAGCTCTAGCTAGATGCAGGGCTTGTCTAAGGGGCCTGATGATTTCAGGAGGCAGAGCTGGCCTGGGAGTAGGTGGGAGGGATTAAGCATCGATAGAACAGCTGCTCTAAGGTGAGGACTCAGGGTCCAACCCTGTTGGCTGCTGAGACCTGAGTCCAGACCCTGGGCCTAAGCCAGAGCGGTAGGGGGACCCACTTTGTTACCTCTGGGATCAGTAATGTCCACACAGCTGGGAAGATGACCTCCTCTCCTCTGTGAAGACCTCCAGGGAGCAGGGACCAGCCTCAAAGCCAAGTGACCACCCACACCTCCCTTTTCCGGGACAACTTGTTTTGCTTTAAAGCCTGGGACTTTGACCTGGGAGCTGGGCTTTCCGCCTGTTGGTCACCTGCTGTCTTTCCTGCTCTTCCTTCCTCCACACTGCCCCCAAAGCATGGCTCAGAGAGTCCTTGCCTTGCCTTTATCCAGGGAGTTTAGTGAGAAAAGGCAGAAACTGTGTCTTGCTTGCTGATGGCAGAAGCTGGGCGGCTGCACTGGCTGGTGGGGCTGGGTGACGGCCTTGTCCACCTCCCCTTGAATCTCTCCACCCTTGGCTCCTCGGATATTCAATTTTTCTGGGATTTCATCCTCTTGCTCCATCCTGCCTCCTCTTCTTTTGAGACACTTGTGTCCTGGGGTTGCATCCTGGTCCCTGAAAACACACACACACACACACACACACACACACACACACACACACACACTCTAGGAAGGTCTTGCACTCCCATCCTGAATTACCATCACTGTTCACAAGTATCCCTCGGATCTAACTCTCTCTTCTCCAGACCCAGGGATCCTGCTGCCTTCTAGATGCCTCCCTCTGGAGGGTCCGCAGGTACCACACACAGTACATCTAAGGCACCTGAGACACCACTATCCACTCAGCTATCCAAGCCAGAAACCTAACCAAGAGTCACCTCCTTCCTCACCCTGTCCAGCTAGTCACTGTTCTAGAAACCATGCCCAGGCTTTTCTACCAGGGCTCAGACTCACCCCCCACTGCCACACCCCTGCTGCAGGCTCAGACTCACCTCCCACTGCCACACCCCTGCTGCAGGCTCAGACTCACCCCCCACTGCCACACCCCTGCTGCAGACTGTGTGGCTCCTTGGTGGTCTCTCTAGATCTCCCTTTTCCATTTCTGATGCCCATTTCATTTTCTCAAATGCACCTCTGACCATGTGACTCCCCTGCTTAAAACCCTTGCTGCATGTTTGTGAAATTCAACTTCATTCCTTACATTCCAACCAGTGATTCTCTGGCTGTTCATTACCACTCTCCAGACTGTGTCCACAGATTCTGAACCCAAGTTGTTGTAGGAGGGGGAGCAGGAGACATATGGACAGGAGGCATCGCTCAACTCTACCCAAAGTTCCCCTAGAGCACTTTGAGGATTCCCAAGTTTTGTTTTATTTTATTTTTAAAATTTTCTTTGCTCTTTTTAGTTATACATGGCAATAGAATGTATTTTGACATATCATATCTATATGAAGTATAACTTCCCATTCTTGTGGTTGTACATGATGTGGAGGGACACTGGTCGTGTATTCATATGTGATCATAGGAAAGTTATGTCCGATTCATTCTATTATCTTTCCCATTCCCAATCCCCCTCCCTTCCCTCCATTCTCCCCATCTAAGCTGGTGGAACACCCCCACCCCCACCCCCACCATTGTGAGTCAGCATCTGCATATCAGACAGAACATTCAATCTTTGGTTGTTTGGATTGATTTATTTCACTTAGAATGATAATCTCCAGTTTTATCCATTTACTGGCTAATGCCATAATTTCATTCTTCTTTATGGCTAAGTAATATTCCATGTATATATATATATATACCACATTTTCTTTACCCATTCATCTATTGTAGATCACCTAGGTTGGTTCCATAGCTTAGCTATTGTGAATTGAGCTGCTGTGGACATTGATGTGGCAGCATCACTCTAGTATGCTGATTTTAAATCCTTTGGGTATGTACTGAGGAGCAGGATAACTGGGTCAAATGGTGGTTTTGTTTCAGGTTTTCTGAGGAGTCTCCATACTGCTTTGCAGAGTGGTTGAACCAGTTTGCAGTCCCACCAGTGATGTCTGAGTGTACCTTTTTCCCCACAGAGGATACCCAAGTTTTGGATGGTAATGGGCCCACTGTGCTTGCATGCATGAGCGTGCACACACACACACACACACACAGCAGGGACAAAATGTGATTCTGAGTGCTCCCAACTGACAGAACCATTTTGACATGGAAAAGGGTGCCCAGTGGGTCTTCTGAACAGCAGTTTGACTTCCTCTGGGCAGAGAGGCTATGAAGGAGACTCCTTAGGGACTTTGCTCCTGGTCCGCCAGCTTTGCCTAGCCTTTATGGGCAGGAAGTAGGATTTATTGGTGAATGTGAGGAAGGAGGTGGTAACACAGTGGAAACCCTCACCAGTACAGGGTTTGCCATTTGTCCAGGAAACTATGGGATGTATTTGACAGCTGCCCACTTCTCTGCTACCATGTCTTCAAATCCATTCACATCAAACTCTGTAAAGCCCCACTGTTTTGAGATATGGATTTTCTGGTGGCCAGGGAACTGAACTTCGCCCCATGTAGGGCCTCAATCCCACACTCCTTGTTCTGTACCCAGGTGCAGATGGACACTATGACTTGGTCAATATGAACCCTAGCCACTGCGCCCTGGGACTTTCCAAAGGCATCTTGAATATCTGTCTGGGACCCAGATCAAGGACGTGAAGAGCTCAGAGACAGGTATATCCTCTGGGAAGCACCATCTCCAAGGTCATACAAGTCATACAAGCAACAGGGTGCACACACTTTGTTCAGCCATTGCATACCAGGTTCCCATGAGGAGCGGAGCCCAGGCACAGCTCCCAGCACCTAAGCTTCCCATAGTCCTGCTGTGGCTTGGGGCAAGGAAGTCTAGCACGATCCCTGGCCTTGATAGGAACTTGGGTCATGCTTAGTCCCTGAGCTGGAGGGTAGACTGGATGCCATGTGATTCTAGAGGGATGTTTCGCCTCTTATGAGGAGTTTGACTCCAGGATCAGGTGATAGTTGATAGGTGTCCCCGGTGGTAGGTGAACCTTCCTCAGGATTGCTCCTGAGTAAGCTTGGACCTCGGCACCTGGGGGTACCTTCTCTTCTCCCTCCACAGCAGCCTCTTCGTACCTACTTCTGCCTCCAAGGACTGCTGGAGCCAGACCTGAGGGTAGGTGCTGAGGCCTTTGATCTAGCTCAGATCTTGTCTGAGGGAGGCCTGCCACGCCTCCAGGGACCACATGGGGCCCTAAGGAGAAGGTGAACTGGGTCCAGGTCAGTTGGGCTGGGAAAATCGGGGACTGGGACCTCAGGCCCTCTGTTGTGATTTATGGGAGGGAGTGGATTTAGGGAGCTACTGGGCTGGGCTAGGGGGTGGGGGAGCACCAAAGCTGGGCTGTATTCCCCGGAGTGGAACCCCAGGGTCCTGCTTGGTCGGAGTGGAACCCCAGGGTCCTGCTTGGTCGGGCAGGGACAGGTGACGGGGAGAACAGAAAACAGGCCAGGCTCTGGAGAAAGTGGGCGGCTGTGAGCCTCCCTGCGCCTCTGGGGTTTTCCCTAGGCCCTGAGCCAGGCACAGATTTCCTAATTCCATTGTATCCTTCCAAGAAGCTCCACCCACTGGACTCATTCAGTGCAGAAGAGACAATGTGTCACTCTTCCCCAGAGCCCAGCCCCACTGCCAGGAATGTGGAGCCCAGGCAGGGACTGTGGGGGCAGTATGGGGCTCCAGGTGTTTGGGACTCTCCCCACACCTCCCAGGTCCTCAGGCTCACCTCCTCTTCTGGTCTCTGAAGGAGGACTTCAAATGCCAGCTCAGTGGGCTGGGCACGGCCAGGGAAGCCAGGCCAGGGAAGCCAGTCCGGCCAGCTCATTTCCATGGGAGGGAGGGCAGTTTCTCTCCCCCGCCTGTCCTTCCCCCTCCTTCTCCCTCTCTGGCCCTCTTCCTCACTCCCTCCTCTCCTCCCCTCCAGGATCCGACTGTGCTCAGTGGATCTCAGGCAAACACCACCAACACCCCCAGCAGCTCCAGAAGCTCAGTCAGCAGCCGCGGAGGGAAGGCCCAGGAGCTACCTGCAGCCATGTCAGCCTTCAACCTGGTCATTCTGGGCCTGCTCACCTCAGTGCCACCTGCCAGCTGTCAACAAGGTAGCACAGGACAGGGGACAGCCTGGTGGCTGCAGAGAGGAGAGGGCTGGGCTGGGCACTGGTGATCCAGGGGTGGGTGGGATGTGTCCTGGCTTTACCCACCCCCCTCAGCAGGTACGGGATTAGCCAGAGGAAACTCCAAAGGCACAGTTTTCTGAATCAGGTCCCTGTGATTTGCTTTCCACCTGTGAGAAGAGGTGACAAGCCAGGGAAATGGTGGGTCTAGGATTTGTGGGAGGAAGAGCAGTTAGACCTGAGCAGGGACTGCCCTAGTGACGGCTGCATTCTGAGGGCTGGGGGCTGGGGGCTCTGGGGAAGGTAGGAGTGGGGCCCACACCTCCTCAGGGCAGGCTTGCTCTAGGGGAGGGGCTGTGCCGTCAGGGGTTTGCCCAAGACTTTGACCTGGTCCTCATCTTCTCAGCTTCCTGGGCTTGGGTAGAGAACAGTGCCCCTGAGTGGTCCCCACCATGTCCTGGACTCTGTCCAGCTGTCTTTTTTGCTGTGTGGCCTTGATGAAATCACTGCTCCTCTCTGAAACTCAGTTTTCTCACTCATATAAGATGAGGATGGAAAACCCCAGTCTGCCCACCTTCCAGGGCTGCTGCCAGGTCAGGGACGTGGAATAGCTTTGTACCCACTGAAGCATAACATCCTGAAGTCTGGGGTCCACCCTGCACTCTTAGGCTGCATCTGTGGCCAAAATCTGGTGACTTTGCAGTGGCCCTTGGATCTAGTGGGAACTGACAAAGATGCTTCCAACCTCTCCTGAACTCTCGTGTGTGTGTGTGTGTGTGTGTGTGTGTGTGTGTGCACGCGCGTGTGTGTGCTCACACTCCAGCCCTGTCTCCCAGGTCCTGGAGGCCCTCTAGGGAACTGAAGAGACCGGAGGCTGAGTGACTTACATGGGTCGTAGAGCAGAGCAAGAAGGGACAGGATCCGGACCATCTTTCTCCTGCCCCAGGTTCTGTCCCTTACTTTTTGTGCTTGCTCCAGAGTCACGGGGAGGAGGAAGCAGAGGATTGTGGTCTCTCTTGTGTCTGAAAGGAGTTGGCTACAAGGTCTAGAGGAAGCAGGGAGGGGCCTCCCAGGGCTGCTCCCGATGCTTGAGCAATTATTTACCCGAGAGAGCAATGTGCTTGTTTCTCTTGGGAGGAACAACAAATTAAAAAATGCTCATCTTTGTAGGATAACCGCATTGTGTATCTTCTGCTATCCATGGAGCTAAGCAAGGTCTGACCTAGCCACAGGCCAAAGAGTTCCACAATTCTCCCTCTTTCCCAACACCTGCTAGGTTCAGAAAGAGTTCAAAGAAGAGGTGAAGCCTTCACTGTAGCAGGAGAGCTTTAGGGTAGACTCAAGGGAGGTCTTTTGAGTGGCAGTAAGGTAGAAGGAATGTTATTGATGCCCAGACTGGTTTTAATATAGAATGGCTCTCAGAATATAAAATGGCTGAAGGATACAGACATTTTTTCTGGAGGCAGCAGCCCCCCACCCCCACCCCCAGAAATCCCCTGTTGACTTCTGTTCCCTCCTAGGATCTTTACCTACTAAGTATCTTTCCTCTGCAGGCCTGAGCTCCCTCTGGTTCATGTCGCACAGTGATGCCCAGGAAAGAGAGGGGAGCTCTTTGGGGCTCCCTGTGGCCTAAGGGTGGAGATTTCTGGGAATCTTGAGGGTAGGAGTTGTTGTTAACAGTCTTAAAAAGCATAGAACAGGGGCTGGGATCCTAGCTCAGTGGTAAGGCACTTGCCTTGCACAGGTGAGGCACTGGGTTTGATCCTCGGCACCACGTTAAAAACAACAACAACAACAACAAAATAAAGGTATTGTGTCTGTCTACAACTAAAAATAAAAAACTAAAAAAAAAAAGTGCATAGAAGAGCATGATTGGAGTGTTGACTGGTCTCTGGCCCTGCTCCCCTTGAACACCCAGCTGGAGGAATCCAAAGGGGCTCAGGGTGGGAAGCTTCCTTCCTGGTCCCCCTCATCTCAACTCTGTCACCGCTCTGTGCACTCGGACCTGAGCAGCTCGGCTGGCCGGATCTCACACCCTGGCAGCTCCTCCCAGCCTCTTGCCACGGAGCAGGATCTTCCAGATGCCCGCCCTTCTCTGGCGGTTTGGGGCCAGTTTCCAGCCTGATGGCAGTTGCAGAGGAGGAGGGGCCACTCCTAGCTGGCAAGGCCTGGGCCAGCTGTCCAGGGGAACTGCCCTTTGGTCCCTGGGGCCCAGCACTCCCTGGGGGGCCTGCACGTGACCCCTGGGGGAAGGGATGGATGAGGCGCAGGGATCCAGATCTCAGACACAGCACCTTGAGCCCCACGGCCTTGTGGGCTGTCAGGCATCTGTCTCTCCCTGGGCCTCTGCCCTTCTTTCCAACCACATCTCATGCTCAGTGGGGTCAGATGGGCCCTCATTGCCAGTCCTCTTACCCAGAATGTCCTTCGTGTTCCTGAAGGGGCCGGTGGCCCCCCACACAAGCACCAGCCCTTTCAGTGGGAGGCGCCTTCTGCCCCTGCTCTGCACTCAGAATCCCCCTTCCCTCTTCAGGTTTGGGGAACCTGCAGCCCTGGATGCAGGGCCTCATCGCAGTGGCCGTGTTCCTGGTTCTGGTTGCAATTGCTTTTGCCGTTAACCACTTCTGGTGCCAGGAAGAGCCGTAAGTGCTACCTGAGGGCCCTGGGCCTGGGGTCCTGAACAGGTAGGGTGGCCTCGGGACCACTGCTCTTGCTCTAGTCATGGGGAGAAGGGCCTCAAAACTCTGGGTCAGGTCCTCTCACGGTGAGGAAGGGAAACTGAGGCTCGAGGTCACAGGGTGAGTTGGTGACTGTTGGAACTAGCCTCAGGCTTGCTGGCTCCCAGAAGTGGGCTCTATTGGCCAGCTCTGGTGGTCCCTCCCTGTGAGTTTTGGGAAAATATCTTCTCTCCTTGGAGTCTTGAGGTTTCCTTTGTCGAGTTGGGATAGCAGCCTGGTCTTCCTACTGGAAAGGAAGTTCCCATCCTTCTCCAGGGTCAGCTGTGGAGCTCTTGGATTGCAGACTGGACAGTAAACACAAGTGCACCGTGCTGATGAAGGAGACTGTACAGTGCGCTGCCCTGGTCTGGGGGTGGTCAGGGAAGGCCTCCCTGATGGCCTATGCATCCTGGAGCCTGGGGGAGGCAGTTACAGGACAGGGAGGAGTACTCCTGGGTGGCCCTGAGTTAGAGGCCTGGCACCAGGGCCACTGGGTATGAATGCACAAAGATCAAGAGTGCACTCGCATTTATCAGGTCAAGGCCCCCGGGGTGAGGGCACATCTTTCCCAGAGCATCGTTTCCCACGCTCACAAAGGTGGCCCGGTGGCCAGGATGCCAGCCGCAGCCCTGCACAGCCTCAGAGGAAACACAAGCAGCTTAGTGGAGAGGGGACAGGGGAGGCCCAAGACGAGGCAGGCGAGGTGAGCAGGACCCAGGCCAAGAGAGCCCTTGGGCCTGAACTTTGGGCTTCATCTTGCTGCAGAGGAATTTTTAAAGCATGTTTTAAAGCCTGGGACACAGCCTTAGCAGTCACTCTGGCTGCCACTTGGCAGCTACATGGTGCGTGGGGACAGTCTGCAGGCCTGGGGAGCAATGAGGAGCCGGGCATGAGGTTGGGATGATCTGGACTAGACGTGGCAGGTGTGATACTGAAAAGGGACTGAGAGTAAGAGCAGTCCAGGAGGTGGGCCCTTGGAGGCTGGTGGACAGAGACAGTAGTGGACCCAGGGGGATGAAGGACAAGGAAAATATCTGGGAACCTCACTGAGGCAGAGGACATAAGCGGATGAACAGATCTGGAGGCAATTGATGACTTTATTGGGGCCATGTTGAATCTGATCTCTGTGGGATGTCCAAGGAAAGACGAGCAGGTGTGAGGGTCCCTGTGACCCTCACGAGAGCAGTTTTAGGGGTGATGGAGCCCACACTGCTGTGAGTTTATGCTTGAATAAGAGGCTTTCTGTGGAGATGCTTCATTCCTCCACCGGCCAGCTCTCCTTCAGGGGCCGCTGATCGACCACATCTGCTCCTGATTCCGGGCAGACACTGAGTCTTGCTGTTCTGCTCTGAGGCTTGAGCTGAGAGTGGCTGGGAGGCAGTGGAAAGAGGCCTTGGACTCAGGGCAAATCTTGCAGATCTCTGGCCCCTACTGTGGAGCAGGAAGAAGAGTGTGAGTTTCCCTAGACAGGCCGATGGCAGGGCCTGCTAGACAGAGATGCTTGTCCTGCGCTTGTGAGAACCAGCATCCAGAATAGGGTCTGCTGGGATAGGGTGAGGTGGGGGGCTATCAGTGGGTGTTACTAATGAGCCTTGTCCCCAGGGAGCCTGGAAACATGGTCATGACTGTTGGGAACAAGGCAGATGGGATCCTGGTGGGAATGGATGGAAGGTACTCCTCTACGGTGGCCAGCTTCAGGTGAGGTGCTGTACAGGGCTGCTTGCCCTAGGCTCCGGGGCCCAAAGGGAACCCCAGGAGGAGGTGCTGCTGGAGGTGGGGAAAGAGGGTGGGGACTCCCATGGGGAAGGGCTAATGAGGTGTCGGGGACTTTGTGGGGATCACCAGGCTCCATGGGCAGGTGAAGCCTCAGTTTGGTAAGAAGGCTAAGTTAGGGGAAGGCTACGAGAAAGGGGGGTTCAGTGGGTGGATGGGGACTCACAGGGCAGCGGGTACTATGGAGAAAAGGGATTCCATGAAGGGCTGACCCTGAGGGGAGAGGGCTCAGCGGGGAGGGAGTTCAGCACGGGGAGATGGGCTCAATGGGTGACCAGTGGAGGAGGATCCCAGGGAGGAGGACAATGGGATTCAGGGAGGTGGTGCTGAGAGGCTTCCTATCTACATGCCCCAGCCCAGGTGTGGTCAGGAGAAGCCCCTCCTGGGAGTCAAAAGTTTATTCTACAAGATACCACTCTCGCCAGCACAGGATGGGCAGGGAGAAGCGATGCCAGGCCTGCTGACCACCAGGCCCTGCCTCTTCTTTCAGGTCCAGTGAGCACAAAAATGCCTATGAGAACACCCTGGAGGAGGAGGAGAGCAAGGTCCGCAGCACCGCCATGTGACCTGGCTCACGGAGGCTCCTAGCCCTGAGATTGAGGTGGACACCACCACCTGGCCACTGCCTTCTCTGGGCAGGAATCTACCATCAAGGACTGACTGCCCAGCAGTTCTAGCCAGTCAAGGTTGGGGCTCAGACCATGTCCAGGTTGGGGTGCCCGTATGGCCCCCGCGTCTTCCTGGATGCCTCCCACCCAATTCAGAAGAGCGGATGGAAGACGCAGTCAGTTTAGCTTCCCATGCTGCCTCCCTTTCTCCCCTATAACCATGGAAATGACCCTTATTTCTGTGAAATAAAGACTTTTTGTACTTCTGGGGCTGAGGCTCAGAAATAGCCCCTCTGGCTTCCAGGGAGACCCTGTCTTGCTTTCTGAATCATGATAATCACCTGTCATGATGGCCTTGGAGGATTACCCAGGAAGTCTCTGGGGCCACAGGGCGGCTGGGGCCAAGGGGGCCAGGCCAGGAGAGGTGAGGGCCATGTTGTGAGCTTATGTCTATGTCCTGGTGACCAGGCAGAGTGCCCTCCAGGAATGTCAGATGAATGTCCTTGTGTGGGAGAGTTTGGGCCCATTCTGGCCAGAGGATGGGCCTTGCTCCCTGGGGTTAAACCCTTCCTCTAAACCCTCCCCTGGGCTGGAGCAGTCAGGAGAGCTTCCCAGGCGGGGCAGGCCCTGTGCAAGCAGGATACCCCAGCCTTGTCAGTTTCAGGGTGTGTCCTAGGTTCTTTCCTGTACAAAAGGCAGAAAGAGGGGATCAGAGAGCTAAGGGCCAGGGAATCCACCCACTCTACCTTGTTCCAGGGACAGCCCCTCCTTCAAGTCTCACCCGCAACCCATCCTTCCTTATGCAGCACCCCACCCTGCCTCCATGATGGCTGGCATTGTGATGGGTTCATTCTTCTCTCATCCACCCAGCTCTACCTGTTTCTCCATTGCCCCTGTGTGCTGTGCGTCAGGCAAGGAACTGCCAGGAGAGTCCAGGAAGAACTCAAGGAAGCTCAGATTTGAGTTCTTGGCCCCCTGATAACTTGCTCTGTGACCTCAGGAGAGTGGCTGACTCCTCTGAGCTCAGTTTCTTCTCTGTGGAAGATTTGGCCAGTCTCATCGCAGACCTGGAGTAGAACTCAGTCCTCACCAAGGCCTGATTCCCAGTCCTGAAGTGGGTTGGGGGTCAGGTGATGGGTATGAGGCCGAGGAGGGAGGAGGCATGACTCAGGGCCTGGCTGACCCTGGGCCCTTTCCTCTGTGACTGCCCAGGGAACAGCTTCTGGCTCCTTCTGTCTGGGGTAACAACCCAAGACAGACTCACCCAGGAGCATTCTCAGATCCAAGGTAGTGGGGCTAACAGTGTACTTTGTCCTAATGTCTCCCCTGCCACCTGTCTCATCCTGTCACAGCCATTCCTTTGCTGTTCCAAGGCTCACCCAAATGCCCCAGGGAAGACTCATCTTAAACCAGAATTAACCTTGGCATCTCACTGGGGTTTAGGATGTGGCCTGCAGCAGAGGGAGTGGGGTGCAGCCACTTTGTTCCAGGCCCACCCCTGCTTCGCTGTGCAACCTGAGCCAAGTTATGTCCTCTCTGGGCTTTGGCTGTATGAATTGTGGCTGTTGTTCCCATGATTCCTACTCTAGGCTTTTGCTCATGTGGCCTCTGCTGGTTTAAACTCTGCCTGTTTTTGTTTTTCCTGGTTGAGGCTCCTCCGGCTCTGGGCAGGGTTCCTTAGCAACCAGCCCAGCTTCTGACTTACTGTAGGAGAGACAGGTTCCTAGAGGGTTAGTCTCTGCTAAGGCACAAACACCCTCTTTTTCCTTTTCAGCCTCCTGTTGGGGACCTTCTGATGGATGTGATTTCCTTGCCTGGGGTCATATTTGCTCCCTCCTCTGATCCCTGGGAGGTGAAGGTGGGTCAGGTCTGGTTCTCCTCCTCGGAAGGCAGAGCCACCTGTGAGGCCTTACCAGGAGGGACCAGTTTCTGCCTGAACTCACCTTGGTCCCCATCAGCTAAGGGGACAGAACGGGCACTCTGCTCTAAGAGCTTCCTTCACCCTTTTCCTATTCTGTCTCTCTCAATTTGAGTAGGACCAGGATGGTGGGAACCCTGGGGACCCCCAAGGGGACTGGACTGGAACTGACCTTACAGCCCCCACCCCCACTCCATGCTCTGACCAGAACGGCCAAGACCCCCAGTCCTTATCGCTTGTTCCCACCTGCCAGCCTGGCCAGATCATGGAGGGAAAGGAGGCTGGGCCGGGGCCAGGGCGGCTGCTTAATGACCCTCCCGGGGCCTAATCTCAGACTGGCAGCCGCTGAGTGGCTCAGGCTCGTTCCTGGAGGAGGCTGATAACGCACCAGCTGGACCCCCCACCATCTACTGGGCGGTACAACCAGTCCCCGGGGGCGGCCTCTGAGTGCCTGGGGCGGGGCTGGAGGCGCGCTGCCCACCCCTGACCCTGGGGGAGGGAGGGGATTAGGAGCTGCGGGAGTGACAGGCAAGGGAGGGACCCGCGCGGAGCCTGGGCCGCCTCCCCGGGCTGTGCTCCTCCCGTCTTGCCGGCTCTCTCCGTCCTTTCTCTTCCCAGTAGGCCCTCTCCCGCCGTCCTGTCCCCTCTTTGTCTCTGTCCGTCAGCCTCACGACCTCTTGTTTTCATTCCCACCTTCCCCTCTTAGTCCTGTCTCCAGTCTCCCTCCATGGCCTCTCCCCACTGGCATTTCTTCTGTTTCCAGCTGTTTTCCCCAGCTGTCCCCCTCACCAGCTTTTCCCAAACCCCAAGATTCCCGGAGGTCACCCCTTGGCCCGCAGGTCGCATGACTCACTGTTGGCGTCTCTCACGGATCCCTTCCACCAATTCGAGGCCAGAACAAGCAGGTCTCCCAAACGTCGCTCTGGAACCAAGATGTTCTCATACTGTTGATGGCATGATCGCTTTTTCTGCTTCCGGGAACAGGGCTTGCATCTTTCTTTCCTCTGTCTTATCCCCAAAGTGTGACTTTCACAGGATGACATTATAGGTCATACCCAAACTCAGGCAGGAAATGAAAGTCTCCACCCAAGCCCCGCACAGGTAGAGGGAGATTGCAGAATTGGGACTGAAACTTCAAGAGGAACTTCCAATCTGGACTTTTTTTTTTTTTTTTAATGTTTTTAGTTGTAGATGGACACAATACCTTAGTCTAATTAATTAATTATTTTTTATGTGATGCTGAGGATTGATCCCAGTTCCTCATATGTGCAACACAAGGGCTTTTCCACTGAGCTATAGCCCTGATCCTCTGGGCTTGGCTTTGACAAAGGCTCTTTGGTGTTCTGCCTCCAGAGCTTCCCCCATTGTGGGGCAAGCTTCCCCCATTGCGAGGTGGTCAAGAAGCTTCAGGATTACTTCCCTTGTGCTCAGGGTAACTTGCAGAAATACTATGTGCTTTCAGGAGCCATCAGATCAGGGCTATGGCTGGGTAGCACCTCTTTCCCTTAACCAGGGGGACTGGTGGATACAGAGGGTTCAGACATGGGCTGGAGCCTGAGTCACATGGTTCCCTGTCCAGGACCAACCTCACAAGTAAGTCAGTCTGGGGGAGCCATCTGGGACTAGTGTGGGGGCATCTGCTCCCTACCCAGGTCTGGCTGGGGGTCTGGATTCCCCAGCTCGACTTTCCTCCCAGATTTCAGCCCCTGGCAGTGTGCACAGTGGCCAAAAGCAAGAATCTGGGAGTCATACAGACTCTGGGTCAAATTCCAGGTCTGCATCTCACTACCTGTGGGACCTCCAAGACTTGCCAGTAAAATTGGATTGGTAATAGCTTCCTGCAGGGCTGCTGGGAGGAAGGAGAGATAACATATGTGTTATAATTACATCGGAGAGTTGCCAGAAAGCAAATAACCTATGGTCAGCTTTGGAGTCCAGCCCCTGCACTCCCCTTTATCTGGCACCTGTGCCACGCCCCTCTGCACTGTCTACTTATTGGTGCCCACCTCTAGCTCCAGGTCTGGAAGCCCCTCAAGGGCAAGAATGGAGTCACAGCCCTCTGAGTCACTAGCATCCAGGATAGGGCTGAACAGGGGAAGGGAAGCCTAAGAGGGGGGAAGTGAACAAAGGAAGGAGGCTAAACTCTAGTAGTCTGTTTAGTGTATGTCTGTCCATACCCCTCCATGCCACACAGGTCCACACACGTAAGCACTTGTACACCCGATTGCATATACCTACGCTTGCTTTCTCCCTGATTGAAGGTTCTGGGGTTAGTGATAGACTTTCCTGATCACCTCTGCCCCATCTGGCCTGGAGTGGCTCTTGTTGTGTGCCTGTGGCCTCCGCTGCCACCTGGTGGCTGCACACTCCTTAGGAAGGGCAGATTCAGCAGAGCCTTTGAACTTGAGCTGGGGTAAGGGAGCAGAAGTGCTGGGGCCAGAGACCATCTCCTGGCACTGTCCCAGCACTCCCTCAGGTGATTCAAACATTCACTGGGTCTTCCTATGGGCCTGCTGGGCAGCTGGGCTCCTGGCCCCAGTGACTGAATCCGTGAATGCCTCAGGCTCCATCTATACTGGTCAACCAAGCTTTTAGAGGCTTAGTCATCTTGGTTCTGCCTCCCCCCACCACACACACAAATTGTCTAAAGCATAGTAGCCTGTGCCCCTTTTTCAAAGTGAGTGAGGGATGACATCATTTCTTGGACTTTGTTTGTATGGAATGACCCTGATCTCCTAGAAAAGCAGAATAATGATAGTTCAATGAAAGAGAAAGAAAGTGTGTGTGTGGCAGGGGATCCGAGGGTACAGAGATGAGCTGGAGCCTGGGTCACATGGTTCCCAAGCATCTGTCCTGAGCAAGTTGGAAGACTGTGGTACCAGGGACACCGTACTGAATGATGCAGATGATTCCTCCACTGACCAGGTCCTGCAGCCTGATTTGGGCCCGAGTCACCTGGAAGGAGGGGTGCCTTTTTTTTTGGCACTATAGAGGACAGGAAATGGCACTGAGAATGGCAGATGCCAAAGGACAAGCAGAAGTGTGTGTTTATGGTAATTTGCATTTATGGTAATTTGGATTTTAGGAGCTTGTGGGGCAAGGATACAGGAAGTCTTGGAGGGACATTTGGAAATACATTTGAGGTCTGAGGCTCAGTTGAGCCATAGATTTTGCCCTACAGTCAGACAGTCCCTGAGCAGCTAAGAGCCCAGGTCTGAGTCAGGCAGCCTGGGGGTAGTACTTAATACTGTGTGACCCTAGACAAATTACCTTCACTGTGCTCTAAATTGGGTGTCTATATAATGATAAATAAATAAATGGTATCTATGTAATGAGGGACATTGTGAATATCAAAGGGAACAATGTGTATAAAACACATGGAATAGTAT